AAATTTTTTTTTTTGCGATTTCGTTTTTCGCGATTATCTCGGAAACTATGAGAGATAGAGCCTTAAAACATATCCCATTCGATTCCTGAGAAAATTTGGGTTCCCTATAGGCAGATGGCCGGCTCAGAATAGCGTTTTTCCACTTCTTACACCCTATACAAGATTTAATCTTGGATTACAATGGAAATATGGATCTTCACATAAGACGCTGGGTTAAATCCTGATTTTTTAAAAATTCTTCTTTGAAAAAGTAAAACGATAATTAAATTGAGAAAAAAGTTAGAATTCCGAATCTAATCGAGTTTTCTGCCATTTTTTGCAGTTTTAAAAAATCTTTGGATTTACCGTAAAGCTCGAACTACTTAAACCGTTTGATCACTTCGCTACTGAATTAGTAATTGAACTGAACTTCAGTTTCCCTTGATTTTTTCATCAAATTCTGAACTTTCCCTCCGGAAATTCCTTGTAATTTCCCTAAAAAATGAATGAAAATCTCATTTTTCTTTATAGCATCCTTCTCAATGCAATTACATGCAAAAACCCTTGATTTGTGAGTATAAAATGTTGTTTTCGAACATGAAAACCCAGTAGTATAATGAGTTTTTATGGCCTTTGAGTGGCACTCACTCCACAGGAGCAGCTTCTTACATCAGCCCAAGACACGCACATGACAATTATCCCTCCCCGCGGTTATTCCTGGCGCCTGTGTGCCGACACTTGTCTTACTTTTTTCGGTTTAACACTCGGGACGAGCTTCGCAGAGCGATTTCTCGGGTAAAACATTCGTAAAAATTGCATCAGCATCTCTCCGATGGCTCGGAGAGAGGAGGGCAGACTCCGGCAAGAGGTTCGATCGTTTTGAATGCAGGTGCATTACGTGAATGATTTAAGAAGTGAAGAATAAAACTATTGGAAGAATGTAGAATAATTCAAAATGGATTTTATCATTTGAGAATATAAATTCCTTAATATTAACGTGAAAAAAAAGTTAGTTGAAGAGTTTATTTAAATGAACCATTAATTTAAATGAATTTTAGTGAATAAACTATTTAAAAATATAAATAACAAATTATTTAAAAACTATTTACATGAGCATTACAAAACACGTCTTCAACAGACAACAAACAACAAATTCCCCTCGACTTTTCCGAGACTATCTGCGCAGATAAATTTTCACCGGATTGTGATTTTCCAGCAAGTGACAATTCTCGAATAATATCAGGGTCCCGAGTGATAACACTCCCACGGGCTGCTCTCAGCGCCAATCGCACAGAGATAGAAGTTGCTCAGAATTTTCGGGAGGGAGGGCCGTCGGATTATACCCTTATCACCCAAGGAAATAGGATGCCATGTACCTTTCTCACCATTTCACTTTCTCACTTTCTCCGGGTTATCCATCCTTCCGGGGAACCAATCTATCCAGTCTCACCCATCGATCTGGGGAATGCATTCATGCATCTTCAACCCGCCTACACCTTCCGCATATCCTCGAGTCTAGCTTCCATTCACCGCTGCACTCGTTCTCGTGAAATTAAATTTTCCAGACGACTCGCGTCTCATTTTTCTCACGGTATATCGAATCTCCTATTTTCGGGCCGGGGGTATTGGAATTCATGGGAACGTGTCCTTGAATGCAAATTGCAAATTTATCTACTGAATAATACAAATGAATAAAAAAAAAAAAAATCGGCAAAATGGGTTTCAATTAATTTCAGTTTATTCATTTTTTATTGGATATTAATTTATTGATTGAGTAGACCAAATGAATGGGGGAAAATAATCCAACAAAATGTGAATATGAAGATTTAAATAGAAAAATTAATGGAAATTTCTATTTGTCAAAGGATTTTTTATTCACAGGTGTGAATATATATAAATATTTTATGACAAATCAGGGTTCTGTCCCTCTTGACCTCTACGAACCTAACAACAAAGTACTAATTTTTTGTCCCAATGTTGGCAGCCAACAATACCCCAACGTTGGCTGAAAATATTGTCCCAAAGTTAACAGCCAAGATTGTCCCGACGGTGGGCAGCTAACATTGTCCCAACGTTGCCAGTCAACGTGACCCCAACATTGGCAACCTACATTCTGCCGACATTGTCCCAACGTTAACAGCCCACATTGTCCCGACGTTGGGCTGCCAACATTGTCCCGATGTTTGGCTGCCAACACAGTCCCGACGTGGGACAGCCAACATTGCCCCAACGTTGACAGACAACGTTCTCCCAGTGTTGGCAGCCAATGTCGTCCCAACGTTGGCAGCCAACGTCGTCCCAACGTTGGCAGCCAACATTGTCCCAACTCCGGCAGTCAACGTCGTCCCAACGTCGGCAGCCAACGTTGCCCCGACATTGCCCCAAGGTTAATTTTTTTTTACATTTCCCTGAATATTGCTTCAAAAAAAAATTCAAATAACAATTGATCAATCAGTCAATCTCACGAGAGAGCTCAGTCAAGACGACGTTGGGAACAATATTTTAAATCACAAAAAATAATTAAACAATGATTTTCTCAGTTATCGAAACTGAAAATAGCATATTCGAACTGCTGCCATTCGGAAGTAAAAAATCACCAAGATTTCCACGATGATACGTGTATTTAGGATAATACTATGAAGGAGGAGCAAACCCAGTGTCAGATGGATTTTCCACTTTATCTCGCCCCACCACACATTTTCCCGGATAAAAGGTTAACGATACTTTGAGAGGACTGCGGGCTCGCACTCCTAAATCCGCTTTATCAGTTGAATAAAAACGAAGAAAGAAAATAACGTAAAAAGGTGAAACGAGTGAGAGTTAGTGGACGGTGAGAATCGTGCAATGGGAAGTTAACGAGAAAAAGTGAGAAACAAGTCCCTTCATCCCCAATATATTTAATTCAATTTCTTTATTTTCCTTTTGGGTCGGGGGGCGGTGGGGGGTAAGTAATGATGGCGCTGGAGCCCCTTCGACAAAAATAAAACTCGAGCCATATAACTGGGAAAAAATGAAACAGCGGGGAAAATTTAATTTCCCAGCATGTGAAAACTTGGAGGAAATTCCTAGTGTTTATATATATTCTGTTCCGGCAGTTGCCGCTGGCGAGGACAGCTGTCGATGAAAACATTTCCAGCTGAAAAACCGAGTTACTCAGACAGCAGGGAGGAAAGTCACTTTGGGGGAGACAAGAAAACCTCTGACATATTTTAGTTGACTAGACCTGTGCGCGCGCTTATCTATTCGTTGTGAAAATGAAGAAATCCACAAGTTGAAACAATTTATAAATACTAGCTTTTTTTTCACATGATCAACAATTAGGCAGTTTAGATATGTTTTGGTATAAAGATAAACTTCACACATGAACAAATGATAAATATGACGCAGAAATTTTTTTTGGCATTTGAAGAATTTGAAAATAGCGGGGATTTTTTTCAGCGACTACTTCACGTGACTCATTGACCAATCAGAATTAAGGATTAGCTGTCAGGCGAATTCGAGATATTTCGATATAAAACAACTTCACGTTTCTTTCATCTTTAGTAAATAGCATGTTTTTCTCTGAGAATTTGTTGAAGTGATTATTCAAAAAACAGAACGCCATCATTTTTACAATTAATGGAAATGAAAAAAAAAATTTCCTGATTTAAAAATAATAAAATTCATTATAATCGTCTAACACTCATAATTATATTAAATAAATTTGTCCAACATTTTTAATATTGGAATGATTGCAAGAAAAAGTTTGGCAAATTAAAAAAAAAATATTGAATATGTTTTTTATGTATTCACACAATTTCCCTGTTGTTCGACCGCTAAAAAATAAACAATGACTTCAACAAATTATCAACCTACTCGTTGCACATGACGCAACCCCTGTGAAAGTGGTTTCAACTACTTTATGCCATGCCAATAATTGCAGAACGATAAAATATTCATTAATTCGTCTTTCGCTACTTTCATACTGTCGTATGGAAAATAAATAATTCTGGAAAATATATTCCTGAATTTTCTTTTTATTGGAAATTCAGAATTATTTTTTCTTGAATTGAATTGAAAATATCAATTTTAATTCAATTATTCTATTAATTTTCCTTTTATTGAAAATTCATAATAATTTAGACCTAATATTCAGAAGCAAGAAAATATTAATTCATTCATTCGTGATTTAATTCTACATGGATAATTTTTATGGGTGTCGTCTCTACATTTGATTGGGTTACCCTTTCCAGTCTATTATTCCACCTTCTCTATTACTACAAGGAACCTTTGGGATCTTCGCATTTGACTCTCTTTACAGATATGCGTTCATAAAAATTATGAAATAATGGTTATTTCATAGAGAAAATTATTTAGGAAAAATGGATTATAAAGCATTTTTCGACGGATGTCACAGACAATTCCACTGGAATTCCCAAGAATTTCATAATTGAAAATTCTCAATTTAATTAAAAAATCACTGGAAAAGTCTCAATTATTCCACGAAAATTGACAGCCATCAGGAAAATTCAGGCAATTCCTTTGTTTAAAGGTCAACACTCATCAGACCCTCAACAACGTTCGACCCTCGATCATTTTGTTCAATAAATGGAGTCAATTAAAAATCACCGAATGCAAAAAATTGAAAAAAATCCGGAAAATCAGATCAATAAATTCTTCAATTTTCTTTTCGCCTGACGGACGCATGACGCAATGACAAGATGAAATATTAACATCAATATCAATTTCCGAATTTAATTTACTACTCACTCTTGTGACGGGAGAACATCCGCAGCTTTTTGAACAACGGCATGACGAAATGTTCACACAAATTAAACTCCGAATGAGGAACCGATGGAGAGTAAGAAATAAACGGAGGAGGGAATAGAGAAATAAACTCGTGCCCTGGGATACGGTCCTCGCGGGTAAACGGCTGAACGAGAAATGCTTGAGTCAGCTCCCCTCGGCTCACCGTTTTTCTTGACTCTCTGCAGTTTTACCAGTTCACGTTGTCTGTAAACTAAACTGGAGCTGAGGCCACGCACTGCAATCGTGTATGACGACTCTTGTGTGGCCTTAGACGACCGTTACATCGACTTGTGATCTCCAATGTTGGGTAATACAGTGGGAAAATAGGGGAATTGGTGATCATCGATGTTTCAATGCGTCGAAATATCGGAGATTATATTTTATAAATTTTTTGTGGCATTTTTTAGATGTCGTTGAGTGAGTTTTACTGATATTTGAAAGAATTTTGTCGCTGGAAATTCATGATTTGGTGGAAGAACTTGTGAAAAATGTCAATGTTAATTCAATTATTTTATGTACATTAAGAGAAGTGAATTTTTCTCTTGGAAATTCAGCTTCATTTGCTAAAAATATTCATGTTTTGATTGACAGTTGTATCAGATGACTATTCCACTGAAATTTCCAGAAATTTGTCACTGAAAATTGACAATTTGATGAAAGCAATTTATGGAAAATGTAAATTTAACTTCAATTGTTTCATGAAAATTCTTAAAAATATCGAAAATTCAAGAACACATTTACTTGAATTAAAATTCAAGTTTAACTGTAATTTTAAGGAATTCTGTCATTGAAAATTCACAATTTGATGAAAATAATTTATGGAAAATGTAATTTTAAGTTCAATTGTTCTATAAAAATTACTAAAAATCTCGAAAATTCAAGTAAATTTGTTTCAAATGACAATTCTACTGAAATTTCCAGGAATTTCGTTATTGAAAAATCACATTTGATGAAAAAAAAATGTGAAAAATGTCAATGTCAATTGAATTTTTTATGAAAATATGAAAACCCTTGAAAATTTAGTAAAATTTGCTTCTAAAATATTCATGTCCCGATTGAGATTTACATCAAATGACTATTCAACAAAAAATTTAAACAATTCATCATTCAAAATTCACAATTTGATAAAAACAATCCATAGAAAATGCAAATGTAAGTTGAATTATTCTACAAAAATCCCTAAAAATCTCAAAAATTCAGGTAAATATGTTCTTGAATTTTCGTTTAATTGAAAATTCAGCATAACTTTGTATTTGATATTCCTGTTTTGATTGCAAATTTTATCAAATGACACCTCTACTAAAATTTCGTCATAAAAAAATCACAATTTGTTTAAAAAACCTGAAAAATGTCAATTCCAATGGAATTATTCCCAAAAATTGCTGGAACTCACGAAATTTCAGGATAAATCCTTGAATTTTCAATAAATTCATAATTCCTAACTAATTGATACCCGATTTGGTCTTCCTGCGGTTGAATAATCGCAAATTTCCCCTAAACCCCCGTGAAATTTCATTTTTTCAAACCTTGTCCACCACCCCTTTAAAAAAAATGTCATTCACCCCTTTCGATGCCCCCGCCGCGCCCTCTAAAATCCCGTCCCCGATTTTTCCGGTCCACCGTCCCGACCTTTACGCCAAAAATCTGAAAACCCTTCATGAAAGCCACGCAAACCCCATTATCATCCATAAGGATGCATCATGCAACCCCCCGAGTCTCACGCAAATGCTCGCACGACAGTAATCGACGCAGAGAGGCAACATAATTGGGCGGTAAAACTCAATTGGGTCGGCCGGGGGTTATGCGAGAATGCCCCTGTCGGGTTGGCGAGTTGAAGCGTGTCCTCGGAGTCCAGCGATGCGGTGGAATGAGGAGTCGAGACAATGCCCATGTACAGGTATATTATACAACGAGTGGAAGCCACAGGAGAGGGATGAGCAAAGAGCCATA